TGAACATTAAAACCCTAACCGCATGATACCTAATTCAACCTAACCACATGATCTCTAGTTCGCATGCATTTGCTCAGAAAACGCAATTAAATAACTCAAAAAGCTTTTTCTTGTGTACCCTCCTCACGGGACTCCTAAGGTTCGGGTCAGGCTCGACCTAAGTTTGGGCTCTATGTTCACTATATGCTGGGTTAGGTTCTAAAGTATTAGGTTCTCGAATTATCCTTGCCGGTGCCCCTTTGGGCTGCCGAACCCTCAATCCTGGCCCATCACAGGCTTTAGTAGATCGAGTTCAATTTCGAGGGAACACACCTCCTTATGTCCATGCGGAGGTGAATACCATCACGAGGACCATAAGGCGTGAGCTCCAGGAGCGATCCACTATCCCATGCGGAGGTGAAAACCACACGAGGGAGTAGTCTCTCACTCCTACTTAAATAGGACAGAGCGGGGTTTTAGCTCATGTTATGCAAATGCAGCTGTGCAGTGTGTGAGGAAAAGCAAAAATAAAACAACACATATTCACTTAAACACTCAAAAGATCAAACTTCTTTAAACACGTAATTAATCTGAAACCATTAACAAACAGATCAGTACAACTATTTATTGGTTAATCAAATTCTGAACAAACACATTAAAACCAAATAGGGGATCAAAAACCAAATTAAAAAGAATTTCTAACTTTCATTTGCAAAGATAATTAATTAATCGACTATAGGCCTGACTCTCTAAAAGTCCCCAGCGGAGTCGCCAAGCTGTCGAAACGATTTTTTCTTCATGTGCGAGATTTTGGAAAACCGCATCATTTTTAATTATTCTCTTAAGATTACAATTTTTAATTAAAAACAATGTGATTTTAGAAAACCTCTCGTTTCAAAAAATTTGAGAATTCATTCACGATAAAAAACAGGTTCGAAGAGTCGCCACCAATCTTTGATTAGGGTGTGATTGGACACCCAAAAATGTTGTCATTTTAAATAAAAATTAATTTTAATTAAAATAACAAATTTAGGTTTGCGTTACAAGAGAATAGGTTCGGGAGTCGGTTACGCGTGAGGAAGGATTAGCACCCCCACAACGCCCTAAATCGGTACCTCGTCGATTAATTAATGTCTTTGCAATGAAATTTACAAATTCGATTTTAATTTGATTTATGATCCCCAACAAATAACAACACATGAATTCCACCATATTCAAAAGCAACAAGATTGATTAAGTTAAAATTACCAAGCTTTTAGAAAGATAAAGAATATTCGATTATTTACAAATATCGAGACCAGATCTTAAATAGTTATAACGACCTTTTCTCGATAAATTTAAATAGCCGAACATTTCTTTTTCTTCTATTCCCAAATTTTAAAGTGATGGATCATTTTTTAGGTGTCACTAATGGGATACACTTCTAGTTTAAAATCGTCAAAAGCGGATATCTAATCAGTTAAGACAACCCACTTAAAACAATTTTAAATTAAAAGAATATTACCCTTAATCAAATTATGTAATAGTGTCGAGTTATGTACATGGGAGTATCATGCAAATCATACCAAAATGATATCATGCCAGAATTAATTAAATAAATATTATGATAAAAAAACTATGTCATGTGATATACAAAAATTATATACATATATTTATTAATTATAATATACCATATATGTATATATATATATATATTACATTACTTATGAATTCATGAGATGCAAAATACGTAAATAAAACAATTGCAGTGGTACCCTACGTTTGTCGGTTGGTATTGGTGCAACTATGGCAACAAGGTCAACAGATAACATGGTAAAATAAATGTTTAGCAGACAATTCTTGACAACATAATATTAATAAATAAATAAATAATTAACTAAAGAGTGGAGAGCAAACATGCCACGCCAAATTATAAGTATCTCATGCATTCCAATAATTGAAATATATATATATACTAATCCATGTTACTAAATGATTTAGATAAATAAGACAGAAACAACACTGATCATAATACTGTTATATATAAATGTATACATGCACACAAACAGGTTAACACCAAATTATACTTTAAATATATATATACATATATATATATATATACATATATATATATATATATATATATATACACACAATATAGCATAGGCCTGCATGAAGCCCACCTAATCAAACGAAACTTTGCATACAAATATGTTTACAGGTACATAATGAGTTTAGCAAACTTATATAAAAATGATGTCGTGTAAAAATTAATTAAACCAATAATATAATTAAATATCATGCAATATTATTTTAATACAAACAATTACACGCATATTATATTTCCACATATTATACCCAACATATATATATAATGTAAACCAATACGACTAAAATGCAAAAAAAAAAAAATAATAATAAATAAATAACAAGTTAAAAATACAAACTTCAGAAAATAACCATTCTTGTTAAAATAGGGATTAAATTATATTAAACCAAACTTCACTACTGTAAATACAAACATAATAAGAATTAAAGTGTTCATGAAAACATTACCATATTGAATACCAACAACTGAAATAAATTACTATTATCATTATGGATTAAAACGAGAATAAACCTAATATCTACAGGACCAAAACATAACATACAATAACTTGGAGCTCTAGTGTATAAATAACAAAAATAAAGTAATCAACATTTATGACTAAAATTAAATAAACATGAAATACAAAGACCAAATTAAAATACAATAAATTAGATTTAAAGGACAAAACACCAATTAACCAAAATTACATGCTAAATACGTAAACCAACAACCACAAAAAAAACATAAACTAATGACTAAAAAGGAAACAATGACAAATGTGAAGATCAAATTATAAAATTGGAAACTTTAATTTAGTGACAAAAATTAAATGCATGCAACAATTGAAAACTAAATTAAAAAAAATTAATTGAGGACTAAAATATAATCTGCAAAAACTTGAAAACCAAATGTGCAAACTAAAGAAAACACATACACTAGCATTCAGGACTAAATCAAACTCGTATGAAATATAAATACCAAATTAAAAAATAGAAAAGACTCGATTCTAGGACTAGAATGAAAATATATGGCAAATGTGTAGTGACCTTAAAGCAATTAATCCTAAAAACTTAATATAAACTTACTTTAGACTAAACCTAACCCTCATTATACCATCTCCCTCAGCCGTTCTATCATGTTTACCCCTCCCCTATCTTTTCATTCTCTACTTCTCATATGTTTAAACTTTAATTTCTCTTCTTCAATAAGGGAACCAGAAAGACGATTAAAGGGACTCAACAAGACCCATACACGTTCGCACAACCCAGGTAATTAACAATCTCTCTCAAATTTTAATTTAAATACTAATAGCACAAAAAAAAAAAAAATGGAAAACACAAGAAATTGACGAAGGATACCTCGAAACAAAGATATGTAGTTCTCTTATTTTCCGATTTTCAGTAATGGGATTACACTGTCTTTGTTTTAGAGGAAGAAGACCCCCCTGTTTACAATGAATTCCCCAATCGTTCCTCTTTTTTCTCGAGTTGATTTCTGATTGTGGTTTTTGCTAACTCCTGTATTTTTTTTTTTGATGGCCTTCAGTCGCTGCCCCCCTTTTTGTTCCTCCGATTGTTCATTTTTATTCATTTCATTCCACCGAAAGCCCCTTGTCCTTTTGTTGATTTTCTTTGTGTTTGGTGAAGTTTTGATGGGTTTAGTTGGGATTAGTTGGAATTGACTTGGTGGCTGCTTGAACGTTCAGTGGATGATTACAGGTTCCACATGAGATGAATATGGCATGATTGGCGGTAGCTCATACGCATGGATAAGAGCAGCAATGAAGCACACATGCATCTCTGGTGGCTAGCGGGTCGATTCTGGATTCGGGTCTTGTAATTTGAGTTTGTAAATTGGGTCTGCAAATGTAAAATAATAAATATTAATAATAATAATAATAATAATAATAACAATATAATTAATATTTATAATATTTTTAAGCCCGGTCAAAAACGGGTGTCTACAATATCAATAATTAATTCAAAACAATCTCATCTTTATTACTTGTTTATTCATCTCATAAAAATAATTACTTAAAAAATCTTTTCATTTTTTAAAGTGATATTTGAAATTACCATCACTTCTAGATTTTTGCAAATAAATCACTCAAGTTTAATTTCAATTATTTAAAGAAAATCTATCTATTTAACTATATGAAATTCCATCTCAATAAGCCTTCCTTTTCCCAATTAAATAAGATTGGTTGTTCGTCTTCCTAGTTTTCACACCTGAATCAATATTCTTTATTTTTAAAAATATATTAAAAATAACTCTATTTCGTACGAATCAAATTATATCAGTGATTAAAGAAATATATGTTATTTCTAAAAATTTAAAAGTACTATATATTTTAGATTTTTTTATGTATTTTCTATTGAAAAATCTATTTTCGCTTCTTAAAAATTTATAACTTTATTCATTTCTAAAATTTTAAAAGTTCGCTCTTTAACATAAAATTTTGTGTTCGTCAATGTGATTAATGCTATTTTATGTGCATATTAATTGAATTCTTGCCGCCAGGAGTCTGAAACATTTGAGCTCGGATTTCCAATTGTTTTACGAAAATTGTTTTCTTTCCATAAACATTTTAAAGGTTTTTCTGAGCGTAGGTAAAGAGTTCACTATCATGGCTTGGTCATACGTGGCGTCTGCAATGACAACAACTATAACCTTAAATAATAGTATAGATCAATATTTTCTAATATTACCTCGTCACTATGTATTATTTTAATCCTAACTTTAAAAGGATAGTCCAAATATTTGAATTAAATAAATTTGTTCACTTTCAAAATTTTAAAAGTTCGTTTCTTAACATCAAATATTACATCCCTTCGTCACGTGAATACTTTGTGTATATTAATTGACCTTATTGCCGTTAAGAGTCTAAAACATTTTATCTCTGATTTCCAATTGTTTTACGATAATTGCTTCCTTTCCATAAACATTTTGAAGAAATTTCTGAGCACAGGAAAAGAGTTCACTATCATGGCTTGGTCAGCTGTGGCATCTGCAGTGACAACAATCGGCAAGCTGCTAACCGACGAAGCAGTCTACCTATGGGGCGTGGAAAAGCAAGTCGATCGTTTGCAAACTAAGCTCAAGTGGATGCAAAGCTTATTGCTGGAGGCCGATGTTAAACAGCATGACGACGAGAGGATTCGTCTTTTGGTTGCTGAAATCAGAGAGCTTGCCTATGATGCCGAGGATGTTATCGAGGATTTCGCTCTCAGGATTGGGTCCAAAAAGAAGGCTGGTCTTTCCGGTTGCATCAAAAGATCCGCCTGCCTCTTGAAAGATGGATGGACGCTCCACGAAACACGTTCAAAGATCGAGGAAATCTTTGAGAAAATACTCGACTTGATCGGACGATTACAAGTGTATGGCGTGAAGGGATTGAGGGATGGGGATGGGTCGAGTTCTTTCATTGCAAAGCAGGAGTTAAGGCGGCCTTATCCTCATATTATAGATCAAAATTATGTTGAGCGAAATGATGGTGACATAGAGAAATTGGTTTCAGAACTTGTCGAGGGAACTCAATTCAAGGTTGTTTCCATATGGGGAATGGGTGGTCTGGGGAAGACCACTCTTGCCAAGAAACTATATCATCACAGCCGAGTTACAAGCCATTTCGAGCACAGAGCTTTTGTATTTGTCTCTCAACAATTCCAAACTAGAAAAGTTTGGAAAGATATTATATCTGATTTGGGAGAATTGGGTGAAAATGACGGGAAGCTGACCGACGTGGCATTAGCAAGCAAGTTGTTTAACTTGTTGAAAGATGAAAAATGTTTGGTAATACTGGATGATGTTTGGAGCAGCGAGGCTTGGGATCGCCTCAAACCTGCGTTTCCAGTTGCAAGGGGCATTCATAGCAATAGTAAGATATTGCTCACCTCTCGAACAGAAACGATAGTTTCCCATGCAGATGCAGGCGTTTATTCGTATGAGTTGCCAATTTTGAACCCTCAAGAAAGTTGGGAATTGTTCGAAAAGATTGCGTTTCCTCCATCAGATTCTACAGGTACGTATGTGTACATTGCAAAGTTATTAACCATCATATACGCATATAACAACATTCTACTGTTGAAAAAGGCAAGTTGGCCACATGGCCAAAACAACTTTCGGTGCTATAATTAATGCACCGAAATTTTTGGTTGAATTTGGACAATGGTTAAATCTCATTTTAGTCATTATAATTTAGGGTATTTATAAATTAGTCCTTAAACTTCAACTATAAATATCCTAGCTCATCTAGTTTCAAAACCATCATAAAGCATTCTAGCTTTCTTCTAATACTAGAGAATTTAGAGAGTTTCTTGAGAGTTATTTTCTCCTTTTTATCAAGAGAGAATTATTATTATTTTCTCCTTGGTAGATCGAGAGAAGTTGTAATTCCTATTTTCTTATAGTGAAATTCTTCTACCGTTGCCCGTGGTTTTTACCCTATATTATTTAGGGGTTTTTCACGTAAATTTTGTGTCTCTTTTATCTTATTTTTTATTTTCTCAAATTATTAGTTACAATTTTGCTCTATCCGATAGTCGTCTTCCGCAACAATTGGTATCAGAGTCAGATTAGAGTGTGTAATATCTACTTATTGATGGCTATCGGATAGAGCAAAATCTACTATATACCTTATACTTATTTTTAGGTTGTTTCATTAGATTTTTTTGCAACAATTCAATTTATTTTTAAATAATACAATTTTTAACAAAATTAAACTTGAATAAACATGTCATTAGTGTAGATTAAATAAACAAGGCCTTATAAATTTAATATATTTTATATTATATTTTTTAAAAATAATATAAGTGATATTGTTATAAATAAGTAGTAATAATAAATTAAAATATTTTACATAGATACTTATACATAGATAAATTTTTTTGACAAATTTTATATATAATCCTAACCCTACCTAAACGGAAACACTCTTAGTGGGTCTAGAACTCATAAACTAAGAGAATATGAGGATCAAAGATGAACAACTTGATCAACCGACTAAATATGCTTGCTCCCGTAAATAAAAATTCTATATCATTAATCCTTGATATATATATATATATATATATATATATTATGCTTAGTTATTAAGTAGTTTATGCGACTATGTGTTCATGCAAAACAAACATATAAATTATAGCTTGATTTGGACATATTTTGCAATAATTTCAATATATTTTCTAGCTTCAAAGATATTTAACAATGATAACAAATACGCATAATTAATTGTTTGATTGGGATAATAATTAATCATATGAGAGTGTAATTAATTATACTTTATTATAATTATTATGTGGCGTTCAAATACATCATTAATATAAATTAAATAATATAAGTGATACTATTAGAAATAAGTTGTAATAATAGATTAAAACATATTATATAGATAATTATATCAGTAATCATTGAAGTATATATATACGACTATATGTTCAAGCAAGACAGACATATAAACTATGCTTGAAAATTCTTTTTTTGACATTTGCAATAATTTGAACATATTTTCTAGCTTCGAAGATATTTAACAATGATAAACATATAACTAATTGTTTGATTCATGTAATAAACTATGCCTTGGGTTTTGTTGAAACCAAAAAACAAAGTCTACTGTTTGCATGCTTAACGTATATAATATAAAGGAAAAAATCATAGATAAGTATTATTTTCTAAGAGATTATCCTGGAAACTAATCAACTTCGCTGCCGTTTAAAAAATATATATTTCTTTATCATTAAATAATTTTACATGCGTAGGAACTTCTTAATATCTCTTGATCATCTACTTTCTAATTCCTCCTATTATTTAAAGAAAATAAAACTATAGGTGGACCACTGTTATTCTAGGTGTTCAAAACAATGTTCATTCCAAATGTATTTATAGAGATTTTTACCTATGAAAATCTATATAAAAAAGATGTTCATTCCTGATTTTGAGGAGTAATCATTGAGCCCTTCATATTGTGCAGATAAAACGGTTTATGGTGAGATAAAGGAGTTGAGACAAGACAAGGGCAAACGACGTGCAGATGATACGGTTGATGGTGAGATAAAGGAGTTGAGACAAGACAAAGGCAAACGACGTGCAGATGATACGGTTGATGGTGAGATAAAGGAGTTGGGACAAGGCAAGGGTAAACAATGTGCTGATGATACAGATGATGATAAGAAAAAGGAGTTGGGAAAAGTAATGGTTGAACAATGTGGAGGGTTGCCATTAGCCATACTTGTGTTGGGAGGAATTTTGGCTACAAAAAGCTCATTGAATGAATGGGATAGAGTGAGTGAAAATGTTAAATCATACTTGAACAGAAGCAAAGTCCAAGGCCAAGGAACCATGGAAGTGTTAGCATTAAGCTATGATGATTTACCTGCCCATTTAAGATCATGTTTTCTTTATTTAAGCCATTTCCCAGAGGATTATCAGATAGAGGCAGAAAGATTGATTCAATTATGGGTTGCTGAAGGTATAGTTTCATCAACGGAAGAAGGGGACGGGGAGTGGGGAGTCGCAGAAGATGTGGCAGAGCATTACTTAACGGAGCTTGCGGAAAGGTGCATGATTCAAGTACGAGACAGAGACGTTGTAACCTCAAAGGTCGAAACAATTCAGATGCATGACCTAATAAGAGACCTTTGCTTGTCAAAAGCAAAAGAAGAGAACTTCGTCTTCATTGTAGATGAGTCAAATGCATTCTCGTTGTCCACAATTCGAAAGGTTCGCAGAGTTTCTATGCACGAGCTCTTTGAGACAAAGTACATTAGATGTCCAAATCTTCGATCACTTTCCTTCTTTAATACAAGTGAACTAGAAGAGTTATATGAGGTAGAAATCCCTTCGGCCTGTGTAGAAGGCCCATTCAGTCGGCTGCATTGTTTCTGGGATATTTTGTCTACATATATTCGTTTTCTAAAAGCTCGGGGATTTTGGGTACATATATTCATCAATTTGAAATTGCTCAGAGTTCTAAACTATGAAGGGAGGAAGACATATGTGGATTGCAAGTTAATCGGTGATATCGGGAATCTCATTCATTTAAGATTCTTGAGTCTAAAAGGACTCAAATTCACAAATTCAAAATTGCCATCATCTCTGGGAAACTTAAGATGCTTGCAAACCTTGGATTTACGACTGAATGAATTTTGTGATATCCACGTACCTGACGTGATATGGAGGATGGAGGAACTGAGACATCTATATCTCCCTATCATATGTGATGACACAACAAAGTTGAGATTGGATACTTTGGGAAACCTCCTCACATTAGTGAACTTCAACACCGAGAATTGTTATATGAAGGATCTTAGCTACATGACAAAGCTTAGAGAGTTGCTGATTCGAGGGGCCTTCAAGATTGAAGATTTTAACGAGGAGTTGAAAATACGAAGTAAACATCTTCACACCTTGATTATTAGCAATTGGGGAGAAATGATAGATCCAAGAAGTTTGACACACCTCCTCTCAAGCTGCGGTAGCATTTGTAAGTTGCTAATGGATGCGAAGATAAGAAAGTTGCCAGAGCACCACTACTTGTCTTCAAATCTCACTTACATATACTTGAGACGTTGCAAGCTTCAGGAAGATCCAATGCCAACACTAGAGAAGCTGCCTAACTTAAGGTTTCTTGTGTTCGGTGATGATTCTTTCAATGGAGAGCGAATGTGTTGCTCTGCAAAAGGTTTTCCTAAACTGGAGTCTTTGAGCCTTACTAGTCTTGGGAAGCTGGAGCAGTGGAAGGTGGATAAAGGAGCCATGCCTTGTCTTCGACGATTGATGATTGGACCCTGTAGAAAGCTAGAGATGCTTCCAGATGAATTGTGGTTCATTACAACCCTCCAAGAACTGGAGATTAGATCAATGCCATTGGAATTCCACGATAAAGTGGTGCAAGGAGGACAAGATTTAGACGGACTCCAAGATATTTCGTCATATTCAAGGACATACAAACGGCGATATACCACTAACTCGGAGGTAATTTCTAAATCTCTGTTATAGGAAATGCTCAATCCGTTTATATTTATTCACAGCTATATGCTTTGCACATTTAGATCCTAATTTGAAGCACATAATTCTTCTGGTAAGATTTAGCTTTTGTTCCTATCCTCTGTTTTAACTCCAATTAAGCAGTTATAGATGACACCTATGAGCTTAGACAAATTCTCATTGTCATTCTCATTCTTGTTAAGATCACTCAATTTTGTAAGTCTGAAATCAAATCTGAGTTTGGTTTTTTTTTCCCTTTTTTTAAAAAAATTTTCAGGGAGGAGACGGGTCGTGTATTTGGATTTGATCCATGGAAAAGGTAATCGTCTGTTTTCCAACCATTAAACATGATTCATAGCTGCTGCAACTTCAATTTTTCTTCTCAATATTTGAGTGTTTACTTTCCAAAACAAATCTGTATCTTTTTGTATTCTAAATCTTTAATGTTTTTCTTGACAATTGAATAAATTTTCTTCTGAAATTGACTTTTTCCCCCTTTGATGTTTTCTTCTTATTTTTCTACAGGGAAAGAAGGCATTATATGGAAAATTGTGGTCGTTTGTTTAAGAATTGGTGTGAGATTATTATTTTGTAAGATTGTGTTGTACGGTGTGGATTCTATTGCTTGTTGACATGAGATTGGTTTTCTGTTTCAGATTCGATTTGGGTGTTGTGGTGTGTTATTTTCAATTCCTTTGAGCTTTGGATTTGACTGTTTGAATTATAATTCATTGCTTGTAATAGAGCATGTTGCCTTGTCTGGTCTCATGAATTGGTTGAATGGTGTTTTGATATTGTACCTTGTTAGATCCCATTCATAATAAAGAGAGATTATTTTTTAATGAAGAGGAAATGTTAAATTAACATATCAGTCTCTAATGCGTGAGTTTAGTCATACGATTATATGTTTAATCTATACTATTAGTTAGCAATAATATATATATTTAATAAGAGTAATTTCAATAATAAAAGAGAGTGTTGTTCTCTTTGGAAGACTAGAGTTTTAACAGTTGTATATGTAAGATGTATGTGCATTATGACAAGTTAAGAAAATTTTTTGAATAAATATTCTCTTATAATCTATATATTTAATAAAAGGGAGTGACATCAATGATAAAAGAGAGTATTATTCTCTCTCGAGGATCCATAGTATTATTCTCTCTTGAGGATCCATATTCTAACAGTAGTCTTTGTAAATTGTGTGTACATTATCATAAATTAGGACAAATTTTAAACAAATATACTCTTTTAATTACTCCATACTACTAAGAAAATTATTGTGTTTATATTTAACTCAACTCTTGTTATTTAATTGTGATTAATGAAAATATATTTATTTCATCTTCACAATTTTCTAACTAGAAAAATATTATTGTTATTAAAAAAAACAAAGAACTATTTCACTCTCTTTTCATTTTCTCTCTCTCTTGTTATAAACGATTTTAATTCTTTCAGATTTCTGTCTCCCACTCTTTTTCTTTTCCCTGAATTTGTTTCAATTCGATTTGTATCTCTATTGTTTTGTTTCTTTTCCCTAAGTTTCTGTTTCATAAATTTTATTTTTAAATTGCTTAATATCTTTGTACCTTTTCTCCCGAATAGGTGCCTACAGTATTTTTGGACCATTCAGGTACCTAACGTTATAAACGTTAATACTTCGACCCACCGGTCGGATTTTGAGCGGAACCGGCTGGGGAACACAAGGGGAACGGTGGTGAGACTCAACGCTCGTCGGTTCGCCCAGAATTGCTAAAAAATTGGTCGACGATGTGTCTATAGGTGGCGTCTGAGCGACGAAAGGTGGCCGGACGGCAGCAAATTATGGCTGCAAAGGGAGGTCGACGGGGAGAGGGATTTGATTAAATTTTGGGGGGGGAATAATTTGAGTTTACCCAATCGGGTAATATATTATTTTTCACTGAGTCTAGAAAATGGGCAAATTTTGGTTAGTCCTTAAATTTTCCTTCACTTCCAAAAATGATCTGCTAGCTTTGCGATTTTACACTTTAATCCTCAATTTCTTCCAAAATATCACTTTAATTTATTACTTTATAATTTCTAAAACTTAACCCCTAAATTAAAGGTGTGATAATAACATCTTATAGTTAGGTGATCATTTGTATACTTTACCCTTTTTACTAATAAACCTCGTTCTAGATTCACCGCACCATATTTTAGTGAATCATTTTATTCCAGTAATCATAGCCTGATCTTTAACAAAACTTCAAAGCCCAGCTTTTTGTATTTTCGGTTCGATTTTTTCATTTCTATTTTCGTGTCCTAACTCTGTTTATTGAAGTTGAAATCTTTTTTTTTTCAAGAGAATTCTGTGTTTGTGTTCTAAATCACACCCAAATTTCAGACCAACGCTTTCTTCTTTTTGCGTCTTCAATTCCATACGCTGAGGAATTCTTTGAAACCATCTCCATCACACCATTTTCCAGATCTGAAAATTCAAGATTTATTGCTTTATTTACTTTAAAAATTCAATTGCATCTTCTTTTAAATTGCTTTCTGTTCCTTCTTATTAATCATTATTGTTATAATCTTCTTAAGTTTCCAAATTTTAAATGCCATTATCAACTACATAGGTGATTCTTCTATTGACAAAAGACGAAGAAGAGAAAACACGCTCGCACTGCTTCAGTTCAAATTTCATTCAAATTGTTGAAGCTTTTCTCCGATCTCTTTCAGTTCTGTTTCTGGTAACTTTAATTTTTATTTGTTTGTCATAGATCTAGTTGGATTTCGCTCCTTTCTTTCGTTCGTTACTTCCAAGGCACTGTTTTGACTAGATTCGGCTGCTTCCGACTGTAAATTTGGAAATATCTAGTTACATGCTTCGTAGTGTAGTTTCTACATACTACTGTTTTTTATTAATCTTTTAGATCTTATTTTGGCGTCTTTTTTAAAATTTCATTATATTACTTGATATCAAATTAAAAATCTTTTTAAGGATATTATAGTGTTTTACGCATTTTATCTTATAATTGCTAATAAACTTACTAGCAATAAATTAAAACCCTACTTAGTAACCAACTAGGCTTTTTAGTACCCTTCAATTCTCTAGCGTTTTATTGGTGCATCTGTTGTCTTCTTTGGATTCATTTTTCATAGTTTCTTATAGCTTCGACTATAGATGATTTCTTGAGGTCATGTCCTTCTTTTAGAGCCCATGGGGCGTATAGGGGGAGGGCTCAACAGAGTGGTGACAAGGAGACTAGACTTAGAGTTTGCTTGTTGAATGTAGGCGCATTAAATGCTAGGCTGCTGGAGCTGACCGACGCACTTAATAATATGAAAATAGATTTTGCATGTATTCAGGAGACTAGGTGGAAAGGGGCTCGCGCCAGAGAGTGTAATGGGTACAAGTTGTGGTATTCAGGCGTAGATAATGCTAGAAGTGGGGTGGGTATCTTGGTATCCTCTAGGCTCAAGGAAAATGTAGTTGAAGTTTTTAGATACCGGGATAGGATCATGATGGTTAAGGTTATTATAGGAGAGGAAGTGGTGAATGTCCTTTCAGTGTACGCCCCACATGTTGGCCTAGGGGAGGGGGAGAAACGTTGCTTCTGGGATCAGTTAGATGATGTACTTAGGAGCATTCCGGAGGACCAAAGAGTTTTCATAGGGGGAGACTTCAATGGCCATATAGGTAGTACAACCGACGGGTATAACGGTGTTCATGGGGGTTTCGGTTATGGTAGCATGAACGATGAGGGGCGTACGTTGCTTGAATTTGCTACTGCTCACGATTTGGTGGTCACTAACTCCTTATTTAATAAGAGAGATGCGAACTTGAATACGTTTCATAGCGGGGGACATTGTACCCAAATCGACTACATCTTGGTTCAAAATCGGGATCGATGGGCTTGCATTGACTGTAAGGTGTTCTCTGAAGAGGCATGTGCATCACAACAAATTGTTGGTTTTGGTGTTCCGCGTACCGCACGGGCGAAACGCTCATAGGAGGGCTAAACTAGGTAAACCTAGGATCCTTTGGAAGAAGTTACATGGAGCGACAACTGATGACTTTAGGAGTAAGGTTTTGTCTAATATAGGTTTTGGAATTACAAACTCAATAATGCAGATTGTTATGGAAAAATATGGCAAATTCCATCAGAGAGGTAGGCAAAAACACCTGGGGTTGTCGACAGGAAGCCAAGGAACATAAAGAATCGTGGTGGTGGAACGACGAAGTCCAAACTAAGGTGAAGACAAAGCAAACTTGCTTCAAAGAGTTTTTACAATGCAATGACGACGAAGAAAGGTCGAGAGCTAAACAAAGATACAAGGAGGCAAAGCGGGAAGCCAAGAAAATGGTGGCTAAAGCAAAAGATAAGGCATACGAGGAAATGTACAAGAGATTAGACACCAAGGAAGGACAAAACGACATCTTTAGGCTTGCAAAATCTAGGGAGAATAGGAAAAAGGATCTAGGTAGCATTAGATTTATTAAGGACAACAATGGTTTTTATAGCGAAAGATCATGATATTAAGAGGGTTTGGGGTAGTTACTTCTTTGGCTTATTTAATGACGGTGCCTCTCCCTGTAGAGATAGTACCGTTGATGGGTCATCCGACCATCATACTTCAGCCAATGACTGCCCTACAAGTAGGATTGGGTTTGAGGAAGTCAAAATGGCTCTTAGAAAGATGGGAAGGGACAAAGCTGTCGGTCCAGATCAAATTCCTATCACTGTGTGGTTGGCCCTAGGAGAAGAGGGAGTTAAGTGGTTGACTAATATCTTTAATATTATTTTAGAGACTGCCAAGATGCCAGAGGAGTGGAGAGAGTCCACGGTGATACCAATCTATAAGAATAAAGGAGATCCCCAACGTTGTGGTAACTACAGAGGTATTAAACTACTAAGCCATACCATGAAGCTATGGGAAAGGGTGATAGAGGCTAGGTTGAGACAAGTTACTAGGGTTTCGAAAAACCAATTTGGCTTTATGCCAGGCAGGTCTACCATGGAGGCGATTCATCTACTTCGACGACTTATGGAGAAATATAGGGAAAAGTCTAGAGATCTTCACATGGCGTTCATTGATCTTGAGAAGGCTTATGATAGCGTTCCCCGCGATACGATCTGGAAGACTTTGGAAACGAGACGGATCCCAACTATTTATATTCTGGGCGATTCGTGATATGTATTGTAGATCTACTACATACGTCAGGACTACAGTTGGCGACACCGAGGCATTCCCGGTGGAAATCGGACTCCACCAGGGGTCGGCTCTTAGCCCTTACATCTTCGCCTTGATTAGGACGACATCTATTGTGCGACACCCAGACGGTGTACCATGGTGTATGCTTTCGCTGACGACATTGTCTAGTTGCTGAAACAAAATCTGAGTTGAATAGTAGACTGGCTACCTGGAAGACTGCTTTGGAAGAAAAAGGTTTAAGGATCAATATTGATAAGACAGAGTATTTATGTTCAAACTTCGTAGGGACCAAAACGAAGATGTAGAAGTATGCATAAAGGACACGTCTCCCCTCAAAGATTGTTTCAAGTACCTAGGGTCTATGATACATAAAGATGGGGGTGTACATGATGACGTTACACACCGTATAAAGGCGGGATGGCTAAAGTGGAGGGTCGCTACTGGAGTTTTTTATGACAAGAAGGTGCCTCTAAAACTTAAGGGAAAATTTTATAGAATGGCAATAAGACCAGCACTGTTGTATGGATCAGAATGTTGGGCAACCAAGAAGGATCATGTAAGGAGGATAGAGGCCGCAGAAATGAGAATGCTTCGATGGACATGCGGTAGGACTCTGTGGGATATGACAACAAACTCTGCTATTAGGATGTCCTTGGGGGTGGTGCTTGTTTCCGAAAAATTGAGGGAAGGAAGACTACGGTAGTTTGGGCATGTCCTTAGGCGACTACCGTCAGATACGGTCAGGAGGGTAGAGTCGATTACAGTCGACGGTGCCAGAAGGAGAGGACGACCAAGGCGGAAGTGGGAAGACTGCTTGAGATGATTGATGGATTTAGCCCTTACCGAGGACATGACCTCTGATAGGAAAGTATGGAGACTTAAGACTAGGATAGTCGAGTAGTGTGGGTCACATCTCTAGGGTGTATCATCTCTGTCTTCTTTTAATGCCTTTGTAGTAATTTCCATGACTTCTACTTTTTATTCATTTTTGTTATTGGTATTTATGAAGGCTTAGAACTGGGCTTGCTATCGTTTGACCTCTGTGTATCATTCTCTCCACTTTTAATTTTAGTCGGGTCTTACGTATATGATATTAATGCCCATTACAGATGCGCATATGATATTAATGATATTAATAACTGCATATGATTACTGTTCAACTATGTATTTTTGTATTTATTTATACATGCATTGCATTTATCTATATTTTTAATTTTCTGACTGCCGGAGGTTCCACGGAAGCTACTCTCAACCTGGCGTTGGGGGCAGCCTACTACCCTACCTCCCCTTACCCCATTGCATATGAGAATTGGGTTTTGTTGTTGTTGTTGTATAGCCTGATCTTTATTGCCTGTTAGGCTGTTAATGCAGCTCACTAAGTTAATTGTTTAGTGTTCCCCTAATTTTCTAAGTGGCGCCTTTTCAATTAAATATCTTTCACATTTGATAAATTTTGAATTAAATATAAAATTTATATTGTATTGAAATATTAATTAATTAATTATGATTACCTAAAAATCATAAAATAAATTATTAATAAACTACAACTGTGTCCTTTACTAATACAACATAGACATGGTTGATGTCATCATATTTCTATAGCATGACCTTTATTATCTGTTAATCATCTCACTTGAGTTAATTAAATAAGACAAATGATTGTATCTCTTTTCTAAATAAATCGTTTTTATTTTCTTAGAGTGGGATTTGGAATCATCACCAATCTTATTTCTTATTTAGTATTTGATTTATTTTCAAATAAATCTTTGAATTTTTTGTTTTCAAATAAAATATATGTGTCATAACCATTTTTTTTATAAAACCTTTTTTATTATTTAAAAAACAATTATGACTTTTATTTTGGAAAATGGGTGATTTTGAATTGATTTGAATAAAATTGAAAAGAGTCGCCATCGACCTTTGGGTTAGGTAGGTCGAATACCTAAAAACGTCTTTTAAAACAATTTTAAGAAAAATCATTTTTTTTAAGACAAGATTCGGTCTGTGTTACCAAAGATTCATTTAAACGGATTCGGGAGTCGGTTACGGACGGGGGAAGGGTAACAGGGTAAACACCCCTCACAACGCCCAAATCGGTACTTAGTCGTTATATATCGTCGTAATAGAACTTAAAGTTTGAATCAGAAGTAAAAATGATCTATTTATTGAATATTGTTAAAATAGAAATACTTCACTTGGTAAGAAATCTCAAGATTGCAATCCCCATCGGGAAAGCTATCTCATCTATTTCATCTATAAATATATTCTATCTTTGAATTACTACCAATAATCGACAAGAGATAAAATATCATACTTAATTTATCTAAAACATGTATTGTTTAATATTAACATAGAGATCATTAATACAATAAAATTATAAAAATAGAATGATAAATCAATTATGATTATTTATTGAATATTACTTAAAATAATAGAAATACTTAACTTGGTGAGAAATCCCGAGATTTGCAATCCTCCATCGGGAAAGCTATCTCGTCTATTTTTCATCTATAAGTATATTCTATCTTTGAATTAACACCAAATTATATCGAGAGTATAAAGTAAATCATACTTTGTCATCTAAAACCTAATAGTTATTATTAAAAAATACATTACATATTGAACGTTATAAAATAATAAATAAAAGTATAAATATGAAATAAAATTTTAAAGTACTATTAAGTAAAGTGAACGTCTATAACATAAGTAAGCTTAACCATATCACACAATAACATAAATAATAGTGACTATTAACCAATATATATATATATATATCTCTATAATATTTCCTAATATTAACTCACTAAACACAAATATAAAGAAATATAATAAAGTAAAACAATAACATAAGTAAAAATAAATTATACATATATTTAGCAAAAGTATCTAAACAAACCTAAACAAAATGACCATAACCAAGCAAGTAAATAACCCATACAAAATTTTACACAGTGACTATAAATTGTATTCGAAAAAACTTAGGTTTTAATACGTAAATTAATACTTTCTATGTTATGAACAAACTAAAATAAACAATGAAACATACAATGCAATTCGGTTTTAGCCAAACAGAAAAGCAGTGAGCAAAATGTGAGCATTATAAACACAGAGTACAAATGTTGAAACTTACAAAACATTACTGCAAGGTGACCAATACATAAACATTACAAACTTGAGGTATAAACAAAATATAAAAATACAATAATGGCTACATCATAAACGTTCAAAACCTGGGAGCCCTTTTACACGTTTACCCTGATGAATTACAACCGAGTCCTCAACCTAACGGCGCCGTTTTGGACTCGGTTTATAAGGCTAAAACCCAAGACCCTTCCCCAGTGACATCTCTCATTTCTCACATCTCCTCCTCTCTCCAGAAAACAGAGAACCAAAGAGGCTCTCCACCTCTCTCCCTTATCCTCCGCCTCTCTCCGCGTGGAGAAAAAACAGAGGTCACAAAGCCCGTAAATCGGCGGCGAAAGCCCTAGAGAACCCCAAACCTTCCTTCTTCCCTCTCCTTCTAGAGACAGAGAGCCAAAAGGCTCTCGACCCTCACCTCTTCGCCTTCCTTCTCTCATCCTCAATCGGGGATTTAAACCCTAAACTCCCCGGCCACCGTAGATCGGTGGCCACGGGGAGTAATCTCATCTCTCTCACCTAAAAAATCCTAGGTGAATCATAACCCCAAAACCCACTGCACTCCAAACCCTAACTACCCTAGAAGAGGAAAAGGCTTTACCTTTAGGATGGTTCCTCACTGCTCGAAGATGGGTAAGGCTCGATTTTTTTTGCAGGTATCGTTCTTTTTTCCCTTTTCTTTCCTTCTATTTCTCTCTTTTTTTTTCTGTAAACCCGAATCTTCTCTCTGTATTTTCTTTTCGTTCCCTCTCTGGTTTCGTTCCCTTGATTTTTGTTGAGTATTTGGTGAGATGATGATACCTATGTAGGGCATGGCTTTTTATGATTTGGTGGATAGAAATCCCGAATATTTAGGGATTTATTGGTATTTTAATTTGGAGTTTAGATTTTGTGAGATTTGAACTGTATATGATATTTTCTTGATTGGTTTTGGCTGTAGATGACAATAGTGAAACAGTTGGGGTCAGACCGGAACAGTGATGGTGGCAGCGTCAGAGGAAGATGGAAAGCCAAGAGGCGGCTGGTGGCTGAGCTGTTAGGGCTCATAACTAGGGTTAGGGTTTCAGACCTAAATGGCCTTTGATCTGGACCATTGGATGGGTCCAGATCAGACGGTCTTGATGGTGCGGCGCTGAGGCAGAGAAGGGGTAACCCTAGCGGGTTTGGGTCGATTACTGGGCCGCAGGTCTGGGTGGTAGTTGGCTTGATGTACCTGCTGGGCTTCGGATTAGGCCTGCTGAGTTGGATAGCTAGTGGGCTCCAAATTTGGTCTTATAGTGGCCTACAAAAATGTAACCTGTATATTAATAATAATAATAATAATAATAATAATAATAAAATAAAGAAAAATAAATATAAAAGACCCGGACAAAAACGGGTGTCTACAGCTGCCCCTCTTTGCCATACTTGTGTTAACAAGAATAGGGCAAGACGACAAGACAACACGTTTTTGTCTGTTCTCCCCTTTTCTATAGAAATTGGATAATGCTGGTTGTTGGGGACGACACTGCTCATACATGATGAAGAGGTCTGGTCGTCTAAGGGAAACACGATTCCTACGTGATGAGGAAATCTGGTCAAGGGATGACACGGCTCATACGCGATGAAGAGTTCTGGTCATCTTTAAGAAGGGTGATAACTAGGTTCCTACGTAATGAGGCGGCTGATATCTAAGGTTGACACAGCTCCTACGTGATGAGGAAGTCTGGTCGTCTAAGGGTAGATGACATGGTTCATACATGATGAAGAACTCTGGCCATCTTTAGGAAGGGTGATAACTCGGTTCCTACGTGATGAGGACGGCTGGTTATCCTAATGTTGACTCTCCTACGTGTCGAGGAGATCTGGTCAGTTGATGTTGACTGATTCATTGCTTCAATAATGAAATAAATCTTGAAGATCCTGTAAAAATGGTCATATGCCATGATTTCATGTTATCAATATGCTCTAAGAATGATCTAATGCATGTTTAAAGAGTATGTTCAGTTCGATCCTGGCATTGAGAATCTCATACTCTTTGATCGGAACATGCGATATTTATGCGTTTATCCATGCCTGGTTACTTTCTTGACCTCTCATTAAATATTCTTTGACTTGGTCCCTCCGATCTACCTCGAGAGAGTTTATCTTGCATCTTTGATTCTTTGGTCATTGATTGATTTTCAGAGAAATTCATTCAGAATGGCCTCTCCTTGTTGCATGCCTTTAAATTGGGACTTCTTTGCTTGGGAAAAGTATGATTATGTTGAAACTGATTTCTTTGATTTAAACCCTTTTTTTTCAATGATTTGTTTAATGATTGATGGGAGCGTGCCTTTGTATGTGCTCTCTGCGAACACCTGTTTCAAAATCCCCATACTCTGACACTTTTCAGAGTAAGGCATAATAATCATAATTTGGTGAATATACAAGGACAATGAATCAAATTTGACAAGTTTCATGGAAAAGAGGCAATGAGAAATATAATCTTTTGGGGACAAGAAACAAGTAAGTACAAAGGAAGATCAAGGACAATATAGTGAATATCAAATGCTGAATCCTTTTACTTCTTCACCCCAATCTTTCTTGAAAGTTGACATGTGTTTCGAAGATTCAGATCGTACAAAAGATGTGTGAGCATGAGAGTCTTTCCCTGAACTGTCAGGCTTCCGAGGGAATCCGCCATTTCAACTTCTGGCTATTCGAGCCGTCCATTACGGATTTTCAACTCGAATCCTCCTTTGGTTTCAAGACGCCCATTTTGGGTTTTCATCTTGAACCCTCCTTTATTTAATTTTTTCTTTTTTTTTTGATTTTTTGATTTTTTTGATTTTTGATTTTTTTTTTTTTGATTTTTTTAAGTGTAATATCGTTTGACCGAATCGGAATTCACGGGATTAGGCAAATCTTCTCCATCCATTTCTGTAACACCAAAGCTCCTCCTGAGAATGCCTTTTTTTACAACATAGGGACCTTCCCAGTTCGGCATCCACTTCCCTCGAAAGTCTTTTTGCATAGGTAGGATCTTTTTTAGCACCATATCGCCTTCACGAAATTCTCGAGGTCTGACTTTCTTGTCATATGCTCGTATCATCCTTTTCTGGTACATTTGGCCATGGCAGATAGCTCTCAGCCTTTCTCCTCAATCAAATTAATTGATCAAACCTACTTTGTACCCAATCAGCCTCGTCGAGTTTCAACTCCCATCAACTCTCAAAGAAGTATTACACCTCAACAGGTAAAACTGCTTCCATCCCATATACCAAAGAGAATGGTGTTGCCCCAGTAGATGTGAACAGACGTGCGATAAGCAAGCAACGCAAAAGGTAATTTCTCATGCCAGTCTCTATATGTTTCAGTTGCTTTTGTGATGATCTTCTTGATGTTTTTATTCGCTGCCTCTACTGCCCCATTCATTTTTGGGCGATAAGGAGCCGAATTGTGATGTTTGATCTTTAACTTTTTGCAAACTTCCTTCATTAAATCGTTGTTCAAATTCAATGCATTATCTGTGATGATCCTTTCAGGGTGTTCTATCTAAATGATTCTCTTTTTAGAAATCTGCACACTGCTCCTTTTGTGACATTAGCATAAGAGGCAGCTTCAACCCATTTGGTGAAGTAGTCTATAGCCACTAAGATAAAACGATGTCCATTGGAGGCCTTCGGTGAAATTGCCCCATGACATCGATGCCCCACATTGAAAATGGCCAGGTGCGTTCATTACATGGAGTGGTGAAGGAGAACATGTATTTGGTTATCATGAATCTGGCATTTATTACATCTTCGAGCAAATCTGATCAATTTATCTCATCAAGGATAACCATTGCTATCTTCTTAAGGTTTTTCATTTCAGTTGCCTCCGCTGGGTAAGCCCGATACTTCACATACTGGAGAATATCATAATACCATGGGAGACTATCATCCTCTTCTTCCTCTATGCAACAATGAGCTGGATTTCTCTTATACTCATCCGAATAGGCATCATTCGAGATTGATCATCGCCTTAAACATAGCTGCCAACGTAGCCAAGGCATCTGCCATTGATTTTCTTCACGAGGAAGATAAGTAAAAGAATTTCTTCAAACTTTGATCAACTCCATCACCAAGTTCTTGTATTCTACTTAGAGTCTCGAGTCATCCATTCCCGCGAAGCTGATAAATAACCAGAGCAGAATCGCCGAATACTTCTAGGCTTTTAACTTTGCGCTCAATTGCAGCTTGAATACCCAAGATACATGCTTCATACTCTGCCATATTGTTAGTGCATTCAAAGGCGAGCCTACTAGTAAAGGATAATGATCTCCCTCAGGTGAAACTAGTATTGCCCCAAATTCCATGTCCCACAGCATTAGAAGCGCCATCGAAGTTCATTTTCCATGCTTCATTTTTCGAGTATCTTCTTCAGTAACAAATATAATCATCAAGTCCTCATTCGGAAAATCAATTTTACTGGCTCATAGTCTTCTAATGCTCTGCTTGCCAGGAAATCTGCAATAGCACTCCCTTTAACTGATTTCTGGTTCATGTAGACTATATCAAATTCGGACAAACAACATTGCCATCTCGCCATCCTTCCAGTTAGAGCCGTTGATTCCATCAGGTACTTTAACGGATCCAGTCTTGATATCAACCAGGGTATTATACACAAATATGTCTCAGCCTTAGTAGTCCATACTAAAGCAACACAGCTTTTCGATAGAGGAGTACGAGTCTCACAGTCAGTGAATTTCTTACTGAGATAGTAAATAGTTCTCTTCTTCCAGTTTCGTCGTGTTGGGCCAACACATCCCATTGACTTCTCAAAGACAGTCAAATATAAAATCAATGGTTGTTTGGGATTGGTGGCATCAAGACAGGAGCATTAATTAAGTAACCCTTAATTCTATCGAAGCATTCTTGGCAACTATCATCCCATTCTCCTGGGTTTCGCTTTCTCAGTAATCGGAATATTGGATCACATTTTCTCAGTCAACTGAGAGATGAATCTGGCAAATAATTTAACCTCCCCAGAAAACCTCGTACTCTTTTTGCGTTCTAGGGGGAGGTAATTCCAAATTGCTTTGACTTTATCAGGATCTATTTATCCCATTCTCATTGACTACAAATCCAATAACCCTGAAGTAGCTCCAAATGTACACTTGGTTGGGTTAAGCTTGAGCTGGTATTTTCTTAATCTTAAAAAAGCTTCCTTAAGACTTTTACATGTTCTTCTTCAGTTTGTGATTTAGCAATCATATCATCCACGTACACTTCTATCTCCTTGTGCATCATATCGTGGAACAACGTAACCATTGCTCTTTGATATGTTGCCCCGGCGTTCTTAAGTCCGAAGGGCATCACCTTGTAACAAAATGTACCCCATATTGTCACAAAAGTGTCTTTTCCATGTCTTCTGGGTCCATTAATTTGATGTAACCTGAGAAACCATCCATGAAAGAGAAAAGAGCTGACCAGCCGTATTGTCAACCAAAGTATCGATATGTGGGAGTGGAAAATTATCTTTGGGGCTCGCTCGATTGAGATCCCGGTAATCAAACACATCCGAACTTTGCCATCTTTCTTTGGAACGGGCATATGTTTTGCTACCCTTCAGGGTACTTGGCCACTTGTAAAAATCCAGCATCGAATTGTTTCTTCACTTCTTCCTTGATTTTTAATAGCATATCGGTCTCATTCTTCGAAGTTTTTGTTGAACAGGCTTGCATTCCGGCTTATTGTAGCTTGTGCATCACAATGTCAGTCTCCAACCCCGGCATATCTTGATAAGACCAAGCAAACAATCCCTATATTCTCGAAGAAGGCTTATAAGACCATCTCTTATTTTGGTGAGTGAAGTGCCAATTTTAACTTCCTTTATATCCTCTTTGTTCGCAATTTATTGTTTCAGTTATCTCTTTGTGGGGCAATATTTGTCTATCTTCTTGCTCCATCATTCTAACAAGCTCAGAGTTTAACTCACATTCCTCTTCATCTTTATAATCCTCAGATTCTTCGAGACACATGTCATTTTCAAAATTAATTTGTGGTTCAAAAGTATCATTACTTGAACAGTTGATATCTGAAGCCCTGCGAATCAAAAAGGAGTATTTGGCTGTGGACAAAAATTTTACTAATATTTATCAAGAAAATAATTATCAATAAAGAATAAAGAATACTCAAGAAATGAATAAAATACTTGCTAAGATTAGAATGAAAGAATAACACG